ACGTGAAATTGCACCTACAATTACATTGAAACAAAATACATAGAATAAAATCTTATGTAATATCTCAAGGTCTCGTACGACAAATCCTCTTTAATGCGCAGAAAAATGACAAAATAATTAAAACAAAAATTATCTCGTCATATTTGAAAATGAAATTAGCTTCAATTGAAAATGATTAAGTATGTTAGCAGCGCAGTTTTTGCCGTGTTATTTTAAGAACAAAAAAAAAAATACATTGCGAACTACTACTGCATACATCACTACTAAAAATACGTTTAAATCGGATTCCGTCAACATCCTGTAATCAAAAAAAAGAAAAAAGCAAAATATTTGTCATATCGGTTAGTATTTCCAAGATTAAACAACTAGATCTTTAAGGAAGAAGGAAAAACGTCGAATTCGATTTGTAATTTTACACTTAAACGGAAATAAGAACAACGTGAAAGAGGAAAAATTGCGGCTTATAATTAAACAGTTTCATATATGAAAAAATTGCATGGTTTGCAAAGGAAGGACAAAATGGAGGAGGGATGATAAACGACAGGTAAAGTAATAGAAGAATATGAACAAATATTATTATATATAAAATATTATTTATTATATCAAATCTAAGTTCAACGAAAATTCACTAAAGGGTAATCCATAAAATTCGCAAAAGCCACTATAGTGGCGCGTTGTGCCTAAAATGTTAACCGAGGCGCCGCGTCGCGTGCTCTAAATAGACCGCAAATGATTCGACTCGTGCTTGCCGTGGGTTGGTTGTGTACGACGCTCGGCGCCATTCGGCGCCATTTCGTTCCGTCGTATCGTATCCGTATCCGTATCTCTTAGTATCGTATCGCATTGTATCACGCAGAGGTAAGACGACAAAAAAAAAAAAGAAACAAAAAAAAACTCTAGAGAAATATAATAGTACTATTCAAGTTCTATTTTCCGCTGATTACGAATCTTTAAAAGACTATAATAATAATAATATAAGTATGTATGAAAGTGTGTAGACGTAATAAGAATAGGATGACGTTATCTGTTACAAAATGTCAACGTAATTCTTCTAAGACGTTCAAGAAAAACTTAACTAGCTCGAGCTCGTGGATCGAAAATAAAGATCGGCGTGGGCGATGACACCTGTCTTTAGCGTGTACGTTAAAATGGACTTTAGAAAATAAGAGTTAGAATGAGAAAGAGAGATAGAAGTAGGGGGATGGTTGGGGTGAGGTTGACTAGGGTGGGGGATTGTCAGAAAAAGAGAAAGAGTCATTTTATTTTTGCATAAGAACGAGTTCTTTTCAAAGAAAAAAAAAAAAACTAGAAGAGGGGAAAATATGGAAGGGAGATGATTCTAAATGGTTGGTCAAACTCTGCTAGAACGATGATAATTATGACGATATAGTTTGTTAACAATAAGACGACAATTTTTCTTAATGTATTGTCCTTATGTTTTGTTGGTTAATAGAGTGTTTGTACAGATGTTGCAGTCGGGTTATAGACCATCGTTCGTGTTTAGTATAGTCTCCTCATAGTTGTTGCTATTCACGTTGTTAAGTAGACGACACGCGTCTATTTGTTCTTACTATTTTCGTATTCGTTAAGTCGTATATAAAGAGTTCGTACCCGTCCTCGGGACATTGCCGAAAGATTTGGCAACGATCCGCGGCTTTTCTACGTCGCGTTTTCTTCTACTCGTGTCCAACAGTAAGAGACCAAGGAATGGACCACTACCACCACCGCCACCACCACCACCATCATCACCTCGGGATTGTAAAGAAAGAAATTTAGACAACAGTTTTATCGGCGAGATCTAACGGATAAAGACGTTTACATACACACACGCATACCTTTCTTCTATTCTTTCTTATTTATTTTGTTCGTTTCATTTGTTTTGTTTCGTTTTGTTTGTTTGTTTGTTTGTTTGTTTGCTCGGCTCTTTTAGTTTCAATTCTTTAAAGTTCGAAACGTATTGTGAAGTTTTACGGGCCCTGCAGTAATCAATACGATTTGATTCTTTTCAATATTTATTAAATTGAAATGTATTCCTTTTGTCGATTATTTTTTCAAACATTTGACAGAACGTATTATTGGATTTATAAACAATACAAAGTTAAATCTATTTTTTGGACATACGTTTTATTTTAATCGATTTTTATTACACGTGGAGTGAATAGTTTATTCTTAAAATAGATCTCATTGTGTGATTTCACGTGTTACAAACAACAACAACAATAACAACATAGGAATATCTTTAAACAACTTGGAGGAAATAACTTTGATCAAGATAAAATGGGAAATGCGGATAGCGTTCACGATGTGGAGATGAGTTCACTCTCAATGATATCTAACAGCGATCATCGATCTCGAATCAGGGTGAAGAATCATTTTTTTTTCGCCTGCGCGAGATATATTTATTATGATCATTCTACATTTTACAAAACTCGATCATACTTATGGGGGGGGGGGGTTTCATTTGATTATTTTATTTTAATGGATTATTTTAAACGCTTAGTCAATGAAAATGAAATATTTTGATTTATCGTAACTGTCTTAACACTTTTATGTGAATTTTTTTGTTTTTTTTTATAATCTTAATATATATAAATGACGTATCACGTTGTTTGTTCGCAATGGATTCCAAAACTACTGAACTGTGTGCAGTTTCATTTAACTTGAAAGATAGGATAGTTTATATCTTAATTTATAATCGCAATATTATTTGTGAGCCACAGCAACGCATGGCGAGGCACCCCTAGTTGAATTATAAGTATAACATTTGTATTGCAAATTATTCAGTTATTGGAAAAGAAAACAAAAAGAAAAAAGAAATTTATTTTTGTAAAAACATTTGTCTATTTATCTATTTATTGGTTGTCCTTCGGATTAAAAATTAGGAACGGTTAAAAAAAGGATTTTGGCTAAAGTTCAAAATATTTCTTCAGTTTTTCGTTTATTTTTTCTTCTTTTTTGAATTTAAAATTAAAATTAGAAAAGGGGAGACAAATGTTTCAAACGAATATTTTGCTTCATCTTTTTTTTTTCTTTTTTTCTCTAGATATATTAAAAGATGCAGGTGTAAAATGTGTTCATCTATGTGAAAAATTATTTGTTCAACTTTCGCGGATGCCAATTTTATGAAAACGCGGTTTTATGAAAAACGGTTAAAAGTTTTAATATAACATGAAAGAGGTTTGGCGCAATTTGCTTACCTTCACAAACACTCATAACTTTAACAATTGTTTCAATATTTATAGATTATATGTTACAGCTAAAACGTATTTAAAAAAAAAAGAACAAAGAAAATTATTTAGATGGACAAAAAAAAACCGATACCCAAATCAGAATATTTCTTTTCTAATTAAACGATACGATTAAATAAATAATTTCAAATGTTTTTTTTCTCTTTAAACTTTTTTTTTTAAACTTTCATTAGGTTTAACTTCTATTAAGTATGATTAAGTTAAAAGCGTCACCCTTTTTTTAATTACTTTGTTTGATACAGAAACTTAATGCGTTGTGATGACTAATTCGTTTTCTTATTTGGTGTATCTTATTTATGCTTATGTGAACTTGATCTTAGAAGTTTGTTTCTAAGTACTGTCTATATAATCTTACAAAGACGTTGCAATCTCACTTTTAAACTACCTTAGCATTTTCTTATCTGAGATTAGTGGGACACCATGAAACGAGAACTGCACTTTCGATTTCATTGTCAGTTTGAACTTAACAGTTGTGGCTAAAGGACTAGAAAAGTGCAAGTTTCTGATCCCCATTATCATGGAATTTAGTAATGAAATAAGTTCGAGTGAAGATGAGTTTGATTCAGAGTTGCCATACGAGCAAATTGTACAGATATACAGAGAGCTCTACTGTAGAGAGAACACAAGCAGTGATGATGATAGTGATGAAGTAAGAAGTGATACTATTATAATAGAGGATATTACTACGATTGTTTATTTTTTACTTTGAACTATTTTCAAAATTGACAATTATTTTAACACTTTGCACACGAGGCTCTTTTCGCTTTTATTTTCAATAAATCGTTATGAACTTTTTGGACAATTCAATAATCAAAATAATTGAATAAAAAACTGAAATAAAATAATAAAAAGAAGATAATTGGTATGCAATTATCGGGTTTTAGTTTATGTTATCAAATTTTCTTTACATTTAAAGAATGAAAATGTACAAATTCTCAATCTAGTCTTTTCGTAATCAACGGCGCTTAAGTGTTGTCGCTTGAAATATTTGTCTTATGTTAGTTTCTCGTGCACGTTTTGCTCTCGAAACTCACGAATCTTGGAATAGCTCGTAGACGGGACCAACGAACTCGAATCAACTCGACGAGTATACTTGGCTCACAGCATTGCATCGTACGAGCAATCACTGTAGAGCAGTTTCATTTTAAGCCCTTATAACTGACGGTGCTAGAAAATATCAATTTTCCATTTGAAATTTACCCCTTTCTTGCAATTTCATAATCTTTGTATATAAAAATTTGCTGTCACATTGTTGGTTTCCAATGAACTTTAAAACTACAGAAAAACTGAAACGTATTAAATATAGTTTAAACATATTAAACTATTATTTCGATATATTTCAATAGTTTAAACAATATTATATAAATAATATTAATTAAAATTATTATTTGTTTGATTTTAAAACTCAGAAAATATATTGGGTTGTTCGGATAGTAATTTCGTTTTTCTTTTGTGAAATTGAAGACAATTTTCACTTCGAGGTTAATCCTAGGCCTTTCAAGTGGGCATAAATAATTAAATTTGATAAATTTAACTTCTCACCGATCTCACGTGTTGTTTTTTTTGCCGATTTGCATCAACTAGTGCCTTTATTGTGTCAGGAAAAAACAAAATTACTTTCCGAACAACCCAATAATTATTACACATTAAATTAATCCTTTTAACTCGCAAGGATTATTTTTTGTAAATATCATAAACGCTATATATATATGAATAATTAATTTAAAAAAAAATGTGATAATTTGTTTACAGAGAACGCCCATGCGCCCGATGATAGCAGAATACGACCCAAAGAAGCACGGTGTGAAAACAGAACTGTCAGACATGGTTCTCGTCAAGTAAGTTTCCAAGTTGGTTTATGAAATCGAACAAGTGGTTCGGTGATAATCGAGAGAGTTCGATTACGTTATCCGCTACCACGACCGATCATCGCCATTGCTTTATTGCCAAATCCAATTGCTCCGCGCTCGAGCGAACGTGAGTGACACCCCGAGGATCATATATTGTGCATTGCATCTCGTTATAATATATAATATGTGTATTCTCTCACTCTCTTTTGTGTACCCATTTTTTCATTTTGTTCAATTCTATACCTCCTTTATCATTGCATACCGCCTGATATATTATACTCTCTAATATTTCAATGAAATTTTTTTGTTTTCTCGTAGCCGATACGCAAGTAACGCTTCTTGATTTCACGAATTGTGTCTTATTATTGTTCAAACATTTTATTGTTCTTCTTCTTTTATTTCTTCAATTCAAATGAGCCGTTTTTCTGGGAAGATTAAACAAAGATCCGCTAGGAGGGGCAGCACCAATGGGGGGGGGGGATGTTTTGAATTCTCTATTGACAACAACGTTAAACGTACGTCTTACTACTATTAGAATAAATAAATATTGTGATCGGGGGGGGGGGTACAAAAATTATCATGCCTATAAAACATTGTGCATTCGCTAATTGTACGTCTGATAGTCGGTACAAGCAGAATGGTGTAAAATTCACATATGTGTACGCCCCACTGATGCTGCCCCTCCTAGCGGATCTTTTTTTAATCTTCCCAGGAAAATTGCTCATTCAAATTAAACGATAATATCAATTAATTTTTTTTCCCCCTATTTTTTTGTGGTTTTTGTTTTGCTTTTACATCTCGAATGATTATGATTAACCCTTAACGATCGTAAATCACACCTCTCGTGCGACAACCAGTACTTAATCGCTGCAATTGCACGTCACGTGGGAGGTGACAGACACCAAGTGAATTAAATAATCGTAATTAACGAAACCAGCTACAATTTAGTGAAAATTACGTATGAAAAGTTACCGATCGATAAGGGTTCATAAAATAATATTAATAAGAAGAATAAACTTATCATACGAAAGTTTTTGTTATCCAAATTCGATGATCTTGAAGCGTTGCATAATCTTGTGTTTTTTTTTTAATTTTTTTTCATATGAATTAGACATAATATTGCATTCTTGCTGCACCCTCTGCGTTATTTTTGCTCTTTGAAGTTCGTGCTTAATCTGCTCGCTCACTCGTTCGATTCGTATAATCATTATTATCATTATTATTTAATATTATTATTATTATTATTCTAAACAACTCGAGTACGTGTTAAGTATCGGCAAATATATATTGCATCAGAGAATGAACTCGTATTATCGGTTAACACGCGTTGTACTGTTCGATCTTTGACATTAAATCGAATATTAAATCATTTCCTATTGGTTTTCATTTAATTGTAAAAAAAAAAAACAAAAAAAAACACATGATACGATTGATGATAAGTTACGTAAATGTTTTACTATAGTTCTAGAATTTACTTTGATTTCTAATATTATATCGTCATTTATTTTCTTTATACAAATTAGGATTATTTTGTTCTTGATAATGGTCACACGTACAGGTATGATTTTATTATAAAAGGTCGTTGAAAAAGGTTGGATACTTTTTCTTTTTTTAAATTAATCTTTAATAAACTTTCATAACTGTAAAATAATCAAATACAAGTGGAACGTGTTTGGAAAGTGTAACAGAAACCACATTCACTAGGAAAATTCACTAGGAGGTGCATAAACACTTGTTTATTGCGGTATCTTGTAAAAAAAGTACTATGTAATCCATTAACAATATTTCTACAATGAAAAATCTCAGATAAATATTTTTTATTTGACTTTCGACCACGTTTCAAAGATCTGGGACAGCTGTAATTGTAATTCCTGTAATTGTATCTGAGAAAATGTATCTGTGAGAAAATTTCAGATATTCTTCATGTTTACGTTTGATTGTTAAGAACACTCTCAGATCCTACAAATGTGTTGATTTGCATAGCTATTAACTTTAAATGTTGCTTTGTCAGTGATAAATACTCTTTCTGTTACCTGTAAAAAACAATAACGATGTACAGTCAGATCTAAAAATATTTCTAAAACTCTACGAAAGGATTTGTCGAAAGAAATATTTTCTTCCTTCGATTAATTTTACTTTACGAAGTTATGATTTAATTTAAAATAATACAACCTTTATCAATGACCTTGTATAAAACGGACGCAACCCTGACGAAATTCTAACGAAACCAAAAATCTTGACGAATGCAAAGATGGAATAAAAAATGATGTTAAATTATGAAACAATTTTGTTCTCGCGTAAAAAGAAGAGGAGGAGAAAGAGGAGGAGGAGAAGGAGGGGAGGGTGCAGCAGAATTTCAATCATTGATTTACTCGTAAAAATCAACAGAGATAAAATGTTTCGTGGTTGAGATCATGCGGTATGCAAAGAAAAAAAAAATTCAAATTCAAATTCAAATTCAAATTCAAATAAAATAAAATAAAAGCGAAGAACGAAAGTAATAGTTTTAACATTTAAAGGATAAACGATCTGTCTTTACTGTATAATATGTGCATTTATATGATTCCAGACTCGTGTATAAACAAACTCCGGGCATATAGTATCGGGCTTGAACAAAAGTGCTCTGCGAGTAACTGAATTGAGAGAAAGATAGATAAAACGATATAATATGTATAATATCGTTCAACTGCATTGCAGTTTCATTAAAAAATGCCAAAAAAAAAAAAATATATAAATCTGTTCGACCGGATGAGCTGACGATGAAAATAATGAAAAATTTCACGAACCAATTGGTTGTGCAGAAAAGCCGCGAAACGCGACCGCGATGCGAAACGACATGACGAACTGACGAACGTAAATGACAATACTGGACACAAACCTAATATCAAAATGGACGATCTGTTATAACCTCTTAACTGAGAATGACGAGTATACTCTTCGTAAGAGTAATATTTATTCTTTAACGTTTATTTATTTGTCAGGAAATTTTATATCAGAACATTGAATACATTGTTGTTTGATCATTTTTTAAAAATCATTTATGTTATTTATTTTATATATTAGATATATTGTTTTTTAAACAAATAGAAAGATAAAAAATTTTGCTTATTATTATTATTATTAAAAGTAGTCATTTAAATTTTTCTTTTATACAAAGCTCTTTAACCTTTGCTTACCACACTTGGTCCAAAGTACCCAGACCTTTTTTGCTACTTGAATATCATTTTTCTCAATTGTTCAACTTTGGTAATGTTTTAAACATATTTAGATTTAATTTAAAGCTATAAAACCTATATAGTCTTTTTAATTAAGTACTAAAGAAGTGTCAAAAACAATTTTGAAGTAAATCTATGCAATATTTTCTTTTTTATAAAGATTTTTCTCGGCCGGGTCCAAAGGAATCAGACCTATTTTGCGACCTCATTATTCTCAATTATTCAACTTTGGTAATGTTTTAA